AGTGATGTCCAAACACACAGTCGCATGCAAAACCGGGAATTTTGCGCTTTGCCACTCAAGGCATAGGGCCTCGGTCCACTATGGTCCTCTATATGAATTTCGGAATATGTGGACAGTTCAAGGACCCCAGTCAGAGAATTCAAGATAGGGGAGAACGCGGCATTGATGCCGCTCCACTTACTGTCTGCTGTACACCTCTCAAATTTGTGGGTTCACTACCAGACCCAGTCTGACTCGCTGTAGCGGAGCTCCAAGACAGGGCGTCCAAAGGGTTTTGTCCGCCCAGACTCCACGTACACTCTCCAAATCCACATCCTCACGGTGAGGTCCTTGAAGGACTTTCCGCGTAACGAATTTTGCAGGCTGGGAGCTGTACATTCATGGACAGTAGATTTTTCCATTCCAGGGGGTCCAAGCCATTTTGCACATTAAATTTTACAGCCGACAGTAAGACTTGTGAAGCGTCATGCTACATAACAAGCTTGTTCCCTGATGTATACAATGGAAGAACAACAACCAGTGTCTCAACAGGGGGCTCGACTGGTGGTCCAGCCAGACACTCCCGCCCGTATGATGCTCCGTTCCCCCCCCGAACAGCCTCTGCCGTCGCAACCACATCCCGTGCCACCCCCACCTGCCCCACCACCACCACCACCATCCCCCCCGGTCGTTCCACCCCCCCTTAGAAAGTTCCCGGCCTGGGCCGAAAAACTCGCACAAGCGGACTTGCAAATCAAATCCCTCAATGTTAATGGTCTCATGACGGCCAACCAACAGAAAACGGCCGTGATTTGGAACAAAATTAGACTCCCGGATTCCAAGGCGTGGCCGGACGCTGTGTGCATCCAAGAGACCCATGTGTCACACTCCCCCAACCACGAGGCCAAACACAGACAAATATGGCCACACACAGCATACTCCGCACCGGCAACAGCTAGAGCATCGGCAGGAGTTGCTATATGGCTGCCCCCCTCATCAAGACTGAAGCCCGTACACTCGAACTATGACAAACAAGAAGGGAGGTGGGTCTACTTGAAAGCGACCATAGGGGAAGAGACCATATGCATAGTCAGCATTTACGGTCCCAATGACATCGCCGCCAGAATCCAATTTTTGCTCAACCTGGCTGAAGTCCTGCCAAATGACTGTCCCCTCATCATAGCTGGGGACTTCAACATCACCCCGGACCCGGCTTTAGACAGGCAATCCTCCTCCCGACAGTCGAATGCAGAAGACATACAGCCAGATGTCATCATGCTCAATCAGATTATGGCGGACATGCAGTTATGTGACATATACAGATTATTCCATCCCACCAAGAGGGCCTACACCTGTTTGAGATCAAGAGGGGAAGCAGGCCTGTCCAACTCCAGGATAGACCTCTTCCTCATCTCACAGTCCCTCACCGGCCTCGGGACTGTTGCAGAGATACAGACGATCAGTCCCTGCCGATCATTTGACCATAGGGCAATAACGATGGGATTATCGTTTCATCAGCACCTATCCCGTGGCCCCAATTTCTTTAAGTTCAACACACAACTGCTTAAACTCCAACCACTGCACCACCTCGTGGAAGAGTTTTGGAACTACTGGTCTTCCCAGAAAGTCAATCATGCATCCTTGGTAGACTGGTTCAATACAGGGGTAGCCAACCTTAGGGAGCGGGTTAAAAAATTCTCCATCAAACAAGCGAGGGACCGCAAAGCCACCTTGGACAACCTGCTGCACACACTCGAACACTGGGACCAACAGCTGGTAGAACAGCCACTGGATCCCCAAATCTTCTCTCAGCTCCAAGAGGCCAGAGATCGTCTCCAAGCCCACCTGGACCGCCAAGCAGAAATATGGAGAATCCAGGCTTGAATTAAAAAATCAGACTCATAAGGGACGATGGCCAGAGCCTTTTTCAACAAAGCCAGGACCAGAGCAAGGCAAAGCCTGGTACCAGCGCTTCACCACCCGTTCGACCCGCACCGGCCAGACGCGACGAACGCCTACGCAATAGTGGACTATGCAGCGCAGTATTACCGAAAACTCTTCACCTCTGAAAACGCACAATGGGGTGACGAAGCGCTGTCCCAAGCTAGAGCTCTCCCAACAGCAGAAGGAGGCTTTAGAAGCGCCCCTCTCACCACAAGAGATCTATGCATCCTTAAAAGCCATGGAAGACGAAAAGACCCCGGGCCTGGACAACTTCCCCAAGGAATTTTGGATGCACTTCTGGGACCTTCTCAGCCCGGACCTCATGGCATACATACATGCGGCCCACCAAGAAGGTCATTTTGGACTCCTCATGGGTCAAGGGGTTACCACATTGCTTCACAAAAAGGGAAACCGAGCAGAAATTAGAAACTATCGCCCGATCACATTACTCCCCCTCCCTTACAAAATGGTTGCAAAGACAATGTGTAATAGACTCCTTCCCTGTATGCGTCACCTCATTCACATGGACCAGACAGGATTCATGCCCCACCGAAACATTCAAGACAATGTCCTGTTGGTCAATGAAACAATCAAGTATGCAAGACAGAGACAAGTGCAGGCAGCAATTTTATTCATCGATTTTGAAAAAGCATACGACCACGTCGATTGGCGATTCCTGGACTTGTGCTTGGATAAGATGAATTTTGGTCTTACATTCAGGCGCTGGGTCCACACACTGCACCACTCTTCAGCAACAAACATCATGCTGAATGGTCACCTATCTCCACCCTTTCCTTTGGAGAGGTCTCTCAGACAAGGGGACCCGATTGCCCCGCTCCTCTTCGTTATTGTAATGGAGACCTTGGCAGCACTCATTCGAGCCAACCCCGCTATTGAGCGGATCCCCATCCCGGAACTGCCCGCGCACAGAATACTGGTCACCTCACTATTCGCGGACGACCTCACTGTTCTCATCAAAGCCTCGACCTCGAGCATGCAAGCCTTGGCACACACGATACATGTTTTCTCCATGGCTGCAGACATGAAGGTCAATTGGGGTGCCAAAATGGAGGGATGGTGGCTCCACACTGCAAATCTGCCTCCACCAGAGGAACCCCCAGTCAACTGGCGAGCGAAGGACGACACCATCCGTGTCTTGGGAATCAGGCTCACAGCCGTGGGCCCTCCCAAAGACCATGGAGACCACTTAGTCCAAACGGCAATTTAAGCAATGGCCAAATGGAAAGGGCTGCACACCTCCATAATTGGTAGACCCCTCGCCATCAATAACGCAATCTTGTCAACCATATGGTATAAGACAGCGTTTTGGTCATTGCTCCCACGCCAACTCACTCACTTGAAGACAGCAATAGCAGCGTACCTTTGGAGGAACGACCACGAGCTAAGGTTTTGCATTAAACGCGCGGCCTGGGCCCAAGTCGCTCAACCAAAAGCCAAAGGGGGCTTGGCAATTATAGATCTTGGAGACCAGATCGATTCCCTGCTATTCAAGGTAATAGTCAGGCTACTAATGGTCAATGACATTCCATGGGCTCCCTTGGCCCACATCCAACTGGCCTGTTTAGCGCCGCCATCGCCGCACGACAAACCAGTCCACCCACTGGCCTGGCTCACAAACCCAGCCTGGTCGATACCTACACCCCCGAGAACAGATGCGAGGGACAACCAAGACAAGGCCGCCAAAGTAGATCTTGCTAATGACCCGATGTGGACCTCCATGGTGGCCCTGTGGAGGGACAGAGGACCAGTAAAGTCCCCGCCTCCACCGAGATGGCACGAGGTCTGGAGGCAACCGTGCTTTGGGAATCCCCATATTTTGGACTCCCAAGGGAGACCCTTCTCCATTAAGCAAGGGTCACACTGGCTGTCTTGGGTAAAGAAAGGGATTTTTACATTGGGAGACCTCTGGGATATGCCTGCAGGCAAGTGGAAAAATGCCTCCCAGCTCTGGTCAACGTTGAGAAATATCAAGAATTTGGAGGACAATCTCAGTACCCTTCAAGAAGCTGTTCCGATTGCCTGGCTCCGGGCCCTTAAACAAGGGCCACGGATTATTAAGGCAGACTGGGTTGTACCTGTAACAGCCCTTCCCCTCCCGATGGTCATATAAAAGGTCGGCGTATGCACGAGGGATCATGCGGAGCTAGAGGCCTATAAACCAGAACTCCGGGGGCGCGCCTCACCCTTTTAAAAAGAAATGAGGATCTCAACACCCGACAGCCCTGGGCCGCCCTCATCAAGGTGAGGGTGCTGGGAGATGACAAGGACAGTTGGTATGGGTACGAATTAACAGTTCCCCTCTCCCAGCTGCCTTTCGACCCAGCATAATGGTACTGGGAGGGTGATAAAACGCTCCCTATTTGGAAATTCACAGTCAAAGACTGCTATAGGAAAACACACAGGACAACGGACACCACAGATATTGTTAAACATCGCTAGAAAAGGGACTCTCAGGGCAGTAGGTTTTATGAGCTTGTTATAACCAATTTCGAATTCATATTGTCTCTCACAAGTCTATCCTGAAGCCTCCCTATCCCCCCACACTCCTCAGGATCTGTGCTTCACTTTACAAAAAAGGGGGGCCGTTCCATTCTATCGAGAAGACATCTCCCATCTTCGAAACCCTCATCAAGATCTAACACACTCTCACACAGCAAAAGAGGGGAAGGGTATTCGAAGAAGGGATGTGCAGTTTTACCCTGTTGAAATTATCAATCACGGCAGTGCGGAAAAACAGAGGCATAACTTACTTCATCGAAATTGTCTATTACCTCAGTGCGGGAGAGCAGAGGACCGACAATGAAAATGGCACCTCAATTTCCGCACTGAACTTACCCGTCTCACGCGGCAGGATAAAAATTCCACGGTTGTCCCTCACCTGCCACGTGGCACATACTCAACTACATGAGAAAGCCTATTATGAGAAAGCCTATTATTATAGAAAGCCGCAAAGGGGTCCACATCGCAAATATTTTTTAGAAAGAAAAGCGATAGAAGCANGAGAAAGCCTATTATGAGAAAGCCTATTATTATAGAAAGCCGCAAAGGGGTCCACATCGCAAATATTTTTTAGAAAGAAAAGCGATAGAAGCATGTTCCCGCTATCATGCATCCCCTGCGGCGCCGCTCCAGCCGTTCACCACCCAACCCCACCCGGATCCCATGAACGAAGCAGAATGACGTTCCGCACAGTCGATGGGCCCCGAATCATTGTAAACATGCCCAAAGACGACCCCCCCCCAAGAAGCTCACCTCTCCCGCATATAGCAACGGGCATACCCCTCCCGAAATCAATACTATCACTTCCATTGCTTACAACCTGGCCGCCGTAGAAACATGCACGAAGCTCACCTTCTTCGCCGGTATTATAGTGGTTGCCAATGTTGTTGTTGTTACTGCAATCGTCACCGCTAATGTTGTTTTCGTTGGCTATTTTGTTGTCAACACCCTCCCCACACCAATCACCTTCAATACCGGTGCGATTGTCGTTGTTGTTATTGTTGTTGCTGTTGTTATTGTTGTTGATGTTGTTATTGTTGTTTTCATCGCCCCTGTCCACACAAAAGTGCAGCTCTCCGTTGTTGTTGTTGTTGTTGCTGTTGTTATCATCGCACAAAACCGCAATCCCCCCTCCGCCCCGAGAGCACTCTTCGACATCCACAAGCAAACGCGCCTCCAGTTCACCACAACAAACCTGCCTCTCCTCAGGCTCCTCGCGGCTAATTCCGAGCTCGTTGTTCGAAAGAGCAATTGGAACACCCACGTCATCGATTGCATGCAAGCGATCCCGCGTCGTAGCGCCAGGCACTTGCCCCTCCACAAGCCCCACGCAACTACCCTGTTGCGAACCTCCACATGTCGTCTTCACATGCAGCCCCTCCCAAAGCTTTACGAAAACTCCTCTCAATTTCCTTATCATCTCAGCACAATCGCCCATCTCAGCTGTCACCTGTGCTCTCTCGGTAATACCCAATCGTTGAAGAGAAAAATGCGCGCGGATCTCCTCGTCCCATCCGTTGAGCACTTCCTCCCCCTCGTCCAAAAGCTCCGCTGATAAATCCTGTTGATGGTGAGTAAGCACTTCATAGAGCTCCTCTATCTGTCGTTTGTGCATCCTCACCACCTCCAGCGGCGCCTCCTCCTCTTCCAACAGAGCAGCAGCCACTTCATCCTGCATGATTGCCGCCTGCATCGCCATCATTAGTTTATGTGTGAAATATTATGTCGTGAAAGCCGCCCCCAGAACTCGCGCACTCTCAATACAATCTAAACTTTCAACTCCTTGCSCCGACGTGYCGTTGCGTCAAGRTGCCACGTGGAGTAACCCCACTTACGCCCGTGCCTAAACACCAAGCGGGCTCCAATACAACCAAGCGCAGCTATGGCGCTCACAGAGAATCGCCACCTCTGCCCCTGTCTGCGGGGTGCGGCCGGGCCTCGCCGACCGGTCCGCAGCGCAGATTAGCGCTAACAGTGCGAGTTCCGAGCCCCCTTGAAATACAGAGTTTGATGTTACTTTTCTTGTATGCTAAAAACCAGAAACCCCATTTCCTCAGAGCTGCTAATGTTACCCTCCCATCATGGAGCACTATTTTGTTTTGACCAGCCCAATTCTGCAGCCCCCTTAGTAAGATATTTAAACTTAAATGAAACTTATTCAAAACCTTATTTAAACCCTAAACCCTAGACCCTCTGCAGGCCACACACAGACCTCCGGATGCAGCAGCCCAACCGTAGACCCTCTGCATACCCCAGGTTTGGAAACTTGTGACCTGTGTGTGATCTGTCAGGTCTGGGGATTAAGCAGGCCATCACTCCCCACCCTGTCCTTCAGATGCATCAGCCTGCTCCCACTCCCAGCAATCAAAACCTCCCGTTTGTCATTGTGTCTCCAGACTCCTTCGACTGCTATCCCTCGTCGAGTCACTTCCCGCAGTTCTTCAGTAGTCGTAACTTCTCCAATCCTCCTGCGGTGAGAGTAGGTGGCTGGGAGGGGGAGACAGAGGGAAGGGTGGGTGGAGGGAGTGCGGGGGGTGGGGGGAAGTAGATGGGCATCCACGTGTTCATCCCGAGAGGAGGATAAAAGAGGGGGGATCTGCTGCAAGCGGGATCCCGAAATGGGAATGAGGCTTAAGGGGCCAATCGTGTTCATCCATCCTCCAGTTCTTCCATTGTAGGTGGGGACCCTGAAGGTCTGGCATGGTTCTCTGCGGGCCCAGCCATTCTTCAGTGAAAGCAGTCGTCAGTTCCTGCTCCTTGTTGTGCTTTTGTGTTGCAGTGAGGATCAGGTCATCCTTAATTTTTTGGATTTGTTGTTTGGTGTGATCCCACACTGCTCTTATCCTCCCGACCAGATACTGCGACAGGTGCTCCTTCACGTGGGGGGGGTTGAAAGTATGCTGTTTTCGCTCAAATGAGCAGCGTACCCTCCAGGCGAGCATGAGGAGTTCAATTCTCGTTATGTTAAACAGATTCCTCTCATAGGGGGACAGTCCGTACGGGGGGTCGTCGGATTTCCCAGGAGCAGGAATTTCGGGTCCCATGGAAATTGCGAGCCTGTAAGGACCGTCCAGGCCCCATCCCACTCTCCAGATCTGGGTGACCATAGGGCACCCAAGCAAGCAATGTTCCAAAGTAGCTCGGGAGGGTTGGGAGAACCAATCACAGTAGCTGCAAATGGGTGAGAGGAGGCCTTTCTGCTCCAGATCAGTTTGCGAGATGAGCCAGTCTGGGGTAGGTAGACAACGGTATAATATCTGCCATTGGAGGGCCCGGTGAGATGTTGGCATTATGTGCGAATATCGGGCCCATCTGAAGTGAGCCAGGTTCTTTGGCGGCAGAATAGAATCCTCTTCCCACATCTTTTGCACCGTCTTTCTTATGGATTGCGTTTTATGTATGACACGGTATCCTTGTTTGACCGTATAATCCCATGGTTTGACAGGGGCAGTGGTTCCGTTCTGAGGCCATTGCCATTCCGCCGGGTCAAAAGGGAGCACCGAGATGGGGGAGGACAGCTGAAACACAAAGCGGGATTGGTCTGTCTCTTCAAACACCCGTATCCTAGCCAGGCTTGCCCAGTTCTGGACTGTGTCCTGCTCCTCATTTCTTCGCAGCGCAGA